TTGACACAATCCCTCAGCACATGAAAGGCAAGTGGGGTGGACAGGGCTTGGCTGGCAGAGGCTGGGTCCCCCCACCCCCCGTGTGAGAGCTTTGCCTAGTCTGTGTCAGAGCCACAGAAGCAGGTTAAGGCAACCAAGGCTTGGTGACATTAAGAGCAAACTCTGAGATGCAGAAGAGTAACTGAGAATTGCTAAGGGAGAAATCAGCACCTTCATACGAAACTGCTAGGAATAGACAGAGTGGCCCTTGATGACCCCACGCTGAATAAGGGACAATCAAAGATGGTGGAAGGATGGACATGTGGACTCCAGGCCAGACAGACCTGGTTCGTGTCTCTTACAAATTCTGGTGACACAGGCAAGCGCCTGATCCTCTGAACTCTCAGCCTGCTCTCCCTCATGTGCCTCCTGAGTGTCACTGTGAGAACTAAGTGACACAGCATGCACAGAGACTCACAGAACCAGGTGCAAGATGCTAGTACCATTATGTGAGTGGTCAGTTTTTCTTACATGTGTGGTTTACTTTTTTCTGCTTTTTAGTTATGTATTTATTTATTTTTGCAGCTGACTGGTAACATGGATCGAACCCTGGGCCTTGGTGTTATAAGCATCACACTCTAGCCAGCTGTGATTTACTCTTAAATCACACTGTTGCTGGGATATTAAAGTTACATAAGAAATGCGTGGTTAAGGGCTGGCTGGTTAGCTCAGTTGGTTAGAGAGTGGTTTTTTTTTTTTTCCTTTTTGTCTTTTTTTCGTGTCCGGCAACGGACCGCAACCCTCAGTGTCGCGCCCGTACCGGACCGGGACCAGCAACGGGATCGCAACCCTCATGCTGTGCCCGCCCCTCGCTCAGCCAGTGAGCGGGAACCGGTCTGTATGTGGGATCGGAACCCTCGGTGGGAGCGCCACCGCGCTCCCAAGCGGCGCACTGTAGCAGTGCGCCACCGGGCCGGCCCAGAGAGTGGTTTTATAACACCAAGGTCAAGGGTTTCAATCCCCATACTGGCCAGCTGCCAAAAAATAAGAAAACATGGCTAATGTATATATTTGCATGTAAAAGGAGCAGGAGCTCTGTCTCTGCATATCTGAGATAAGGCTGCCTTTTGGTACTTCGTACTGCATTACCCCAAACAGATTCCCCAGGGATCCTGGTGCAGCCCACTCCTGGCACAGGGATGGGGGTAGTTCAAGGACTCACAGGGACTCTTTTTGCCTCCTTTATTCTAAAACATCTCAGCAGCTATGGGGAAGATGTCTGGAACCCCCTCCCCTGATCATTTCTTCTGAGCTTACACCACATGCTGGGGCGCCCACTGCCCCGCCTCTCGCCCCCAAACGTATGTCCCTAAATATTGAAAACATGCCCAAATATTTTTTTCAACTTTTCCGAGATGCCAGTGATAACTATCAATAAGGTCTGGTTTAGAATTCACCCGTGTCATCCTGCATATTTTTTTCCATATGAGACAAAATAAAGAAATGTTTTCTAAACAATCTGAACTTACATTCTGCTTTAAATTCACGCTGTGGGACTTAAACAAAACTGAATCTTTTACCCACCCCCTGGTTAAAAAAATACTATTTATTTTTCCTGCAAACGGACCATATATTAGGGTAAAACAAATGTCTTTCTCTCTTGAGATGGGTATACATAACTTTTTTTTTCCTGGCCAAACTTCCAAAAGTCGAACATCTAATGGGAATGACTGATATCACCCTTGCCAGCTGAAAACCTTTTCCTCTCACCCAGCAGAAATCAGGAGGTCTGGATTCTAGACCCAATTTGGCCGTGACCTAAGCGGGGTGACCTCGGGGGTTTCCCTCCTCCTCTCTGTTCTTGGTCTTTATTCAGTGAACTGGTAGGGTGCGGCTGGGAGAAGGAGAGGAGGTCATCTGAAACCCATCCAGACCTAGGATCCTATGACTCCAGATCAAAACACGGGTAAACAATGGTAAGATTTTTGTCCTGAAAAATATTTTAGTATGGATTCAAAACAGCTCCTGAGAAGTCTTCTCTCTAATGCCCTCCTCAAAGGAAAATCCCCAATTTCCACTTCCCACGTGAGGGGCATCTTTTCTGTTTTTCTCAACAATCCCTTTAATGTAGTAACATCCCCACCTGCTGGACCTTTAGGTTTTTGCTGCTAAAGGTACCCACTTGGGAGGTGTTTGGTAAAGGTTTTGTGGCTTCGGGCAAAGCTGGGTCCCAGGAGACCAGCCTGGTTAGCAGCTCCTCCACAGTTTTGGCTTTTGGACAAGGGGAGGTTTCTGGTGCTGAGAACTCTTTCTTCCCACCCTGTAGGTCCCATGGCGGGGGGTGGGGGGACTTCCCAGGGCCCAGAGAATGACTAAGAAACCCCAAAAAGTGGGCATCCTGTTCCTCAGAATTTCCACACTTTTCTGAAAGATGAGCCCTGGCTGTCTCCTCAGAGCCTGGCTCTCAGGGATATAGTTAACACCTCTGGGACTGCAGATCCTTGGAAACAGCAGCAGGAGTCTGAATATAGCCTGGTTGTGGCATGGCCAGAGGCAGGGGGGTGGAGGCCATGGGAAGGCGCCCCCTGTGGTGGGGCACGGACCTCAGTCCTGACCGGCTTCCACAGCCCCCTCGGCCTGAGGCCCTTCCATGGATCTCTGGTGAGGGAGGGAATCACTGGGGGTGTTAGGAGCCAGACCTGCCACTCAAGACCAGGGGCTTCCCAGAGTCAGAAAGTCAGAGGTGCCATGTTGAGTTCTGCCTCTGCCCCTGCCTGATGACGTGGGACAGTCAGTCCCCCTCATTATGCCTCTGAAAATGGGAAGGTGGAGGATGACCGTCCTGTGTGCCCCCCAAGCCCCACCACCCTGTGTGGTGTGAAGCCTCTTGACAATGGCGCTGGCCCCCCACCTTCCCGTCCCATCGCCCATGGATACCATTTTTGGGGTCTTGTCAGGGAGCAGGAAGGAATAGCTCAGAGCTGTGTGTCTGAGTTCTGGGCCCCAGTGAGGGTGTAGCCTCCTCAAGGCGAGACAGAAAACCTCAGTCCCCGAGGAGGGACCGCCCAGAGTGACGTCAGCCTCTGGCCGTGCAGCCTGTAGGCTCCAGGCCCAAGTGGGATGGGTGCCTTTCCCCATGCTGCCCCCCCCACCCCTGGGGTGGCCACCACCACCTCCCCACCCTGTGCCCCGGCCCCAGAGCCCACCCAGCTCAGCCCATGGATGCAAGGGAAACAGCGACCAAAGCACCCTTGGTACAATGGCGACTCTGCCAGCTCAGCCCTCCTCTCCCCTCTCTCAAGCCAGCCAAAAGAACCGCTGCCAAAGAACTCCTGACGAGAGCCCCTCTGGTATGTGGGCAGTGTTTCTGATCTCCCTCTCAAAGGTCATCTTTCCACACAGTGCATCCCTTCCTGCCTGCCTGGGCCAAGAGTCCCTTGTTTCTCAGAGCCACACGCCACGGTCCTTCTCAGCTACCTTGGCAGCCTCTGTCAGAAACTGAGCAGCAAGCAGAGGAAGAAAGCAGCTCCTCAGGACGACTCCCTACACTTAGATCTGTCACCCATAACGTCCAGACTCCCTGCCCTTGTCTTCAAAACTCTTTTTGGCTCCAGGCAGGAGCTAGCACATCACCTCATCTGGCCAGACATTCCAGTTAAGCCCTTGAAAGGGACTCTAGATAATGCCAGAAGCGTGGTGAGGCACACAGACGGCTCTGTGGATTTTGGCGTCTCGGGGGAGGTGGGCGTGGGAAGTCCAGGCCAGGCCAGGCGCTTCCTTGGTTTTCCTCTGGTGTGTCCATCGCTTTAGAGGACAGAGTGTGGTCACATACCTTGGTCCTATTTGATTCATAATCGCTGCCCCAGGGAAGGGGAAGCCAGAGGAAGTAGGAGGAAAGTCCAAGTGTCAGGGGGCCTTGGGCAAGGGCCCTTGTCGGGAGCGGGTCTCCTTCTGGTCCTGTGCGTCTGGGATAAAACTATCATTTGAAGGACCGACTGAAACAAAAGGAGATCAGCCATGTGGAGACCCCAATCTGGGTCTACTTGTGACTGCAGTGGTACTTGTCCCTGAGTGTCCACAGGAGAACCAGAACACAGGTGCTCTTTCCCCAGGCCCAGGCTTCCCAGAGCCAAGACAGGAGCACAGATACCCAAGGAGGTGATAACCTGCTTACACCCTCATGTGGGACGGCTGCATTTCAAAGCCCAACGAATATGGGATTTTTTTGGAACTTAGCTAGGAGACTCGAATTCATTCTTCTCCGGCAATCTCTCCTAGATTCTACATGTAGCCCTTGGGGGGTAAAATAAGCCTGGGATAGGGTGGCATGATGAGATACCCTGGCTTCCCCTGTAAACGTTTTCTTAAGATGCCAGCCGTACCCGTGGCAGTCTGCCAGATACGGAGATCTCCAGCCTCACTGCTCTTTTCGTGGCAATGGAGAAACACAAAACTAAATCCACTTTGCTTCTGCACCTTTCTGCAGGTAGGACCCAGGGAAGGGAGCATTTAACGAGGTCAGTAACTGAATTTTAGCAAGTGTCTCCAATGATTTCAAGAAATATGTCTGAATTAGTGTATTACATGGGATAATAACGAACACTTCCTGAATCCTAACCAGGTGTCTGGGCACTGTAAAAAGCACTTTACATGGATTAACTAATTTAATTGTCACAATGATCCTATGAAGTAAGGGCTCTTAGCATCCCCATGTTATAGATGAGAAAACTGAGGCACGGCGATTACACATGGCTAGCTAGTGAGGCCACCAGGAAGGAGCCTCCAGGTCCATCCACACACCTTCTAGGCTTCTACGCCCTCTAGACTTGTAGTCTGTGCCCCTGGATCTATCGGTGTCACTTGCTGGACTAGCAGGACCCTGAAGAGGTAGGACAGCTCCTTTGACACTTGAATCCCAGCCCATAGCTCCAGCCTCTAGACCCCAAACTTGTGGGGCTGCTTGGGTGACAGCTACACATGTGTTGACACAGTGTCCAGTGACCCCAGCAGAATCTCCTTACTGGCTTCCCCTGCTCTGTCTCCTTTCTCTCCTTTCTCTCCTTTCAGGCCTCGGTCACCTAAAACAGAGAGGAAAACTGGCATTAGGAATGGAAACAAATCCTAAGTGTGAACAAAATGTTATCTGCGGGAGACTTATTAACCCAAGACCAGAGAAAATGACTCAGGCAGGAGCCAGCAGCAGCTGGAGGGCACAGCAGGCTGATAAGATCACAGCCAATTATGCTGCCTGCTCTGGTCACCCCGAGAAGGAGGAAGGGGCCGCTGAGCAAGCCGCCTTCCCTCCTAGGGAAGCACAGAAGAGCAGCGTCTACAGCACCGACTCAGAGCACGCACTATCAGCTGCAAGAGGACACAGCAAAGATATTCCTGTGGAACAGTTAGGGTTTTAGAAGTCCACATCTAAGTCTGCTCCAATGAGCACAGGGGAAATCCAGGGGGGAAGGGGCTTCAGTTATAAAAGGGGAGAGACGGGTTATACACCAGGCAGATTATCCGGTCAGGGAGAGTTTCCAGGGAACTGTGGAATTTCCTTCCCAGGGTATGGTTAAAGAGCTGAGCTCTTTTCCCAGCTGGGTTTTCACACTACAGAGAAGTTGAAAATCCTGGCACCAGTCGATGGGCAGCGACAAGGGAATTCTACCCCAAGGACCTCCAGAAAGATACTTGCAAATCAAAAGCCCATGGCATGCTGTGGGTGAAAAGCAAATCAGCAAGTTCCAGAGGAGCAGGCTCGGGGCAATCCAAGTCTTAAAAACAAGGACAACCATGTATGTGTATACCCAAGCACTTAGGGAAAGGTCTGGCAGGATACACTCCCAAGCATTTACATGGGTTAATCTAAAGAGTAAGAGCTGAAGAGACTGAAGGGGCAGGGGACTCACGTCCTACTTTATGCTTTATATACTTCTGCATTGTCTATTTTTTTTAACAAGCATGTGCTACTTTTACAATCTGTTTTAAAATCGATTATTTTTTTTTCAAATGGGACCATAAAAACAAAGGAAATCCTCAGTCTGTTTCATCTCTAACCAGAAAGTAAAATAAAATTTCCCAGTGATCCAAGGTTCAGGAACCATCCCTGACATGGGGTGGGAATGATCAACGTTTTTCTTAGTTTTCATTTTTACAAGTGAGGAGTAGGGTGCCTGGGGACAGAGCGTCAGAGGTCATCTTCTGCAGTGATGATAGGAGGTGTGGACACTCCTCAAAGGCGCATTGAGAGACAGGGACTGACTATAAAATAGGTACCCCTAAAATGAACAAGGGGACCATCCATTGGAAGAAAGAAAAATCAGAAATGCTGTTGGCAGGGCCGGCCCGGTGGCGCACTGCTACAGTGCGCCGCTTGGGAGCGCGGTGGCGCTCCCGCTGAGGGTTCGGATCCCACGTACAGACCGGTTCCCGCTCGCTGGCTGAGTGAGGTGCGGGAGCGGCACCGAGGGTTGCGATCCCGTTGCTGGTCCTGGTCTGGTACGGGCGCGACACTGAGGGTTGCGATCCGTTGCCGGACACGAAAAAAGACAAAAAGGAAAAAAAAAAAAAAAAGAAATGCTGTTGGCAATATAAATTGGAGAGCTGAATTAAAGTTGTAAATATTGGGGTAATGAAAAGAATATTTCATAAGGTTATGAAACTGGCACAGGACTGGAGAGGACGGCCTGTCACTTGTGTCTGTCCTAGGGCCCATCCCGCAGGCTTCCTCTGGTTCCATCTCTGGGCTATTGCATTTCTACAAGGACTTTGGCGTTTGCAGAGCACAGTCACACACACACGCTCTGTGTCTCCTCATCAGAGCCCTGTGCAATATGGTATCGTGAGGATTTCTAGTTTGCAGATGGAACACTGATGCTTTTCAGGATAGAGCCACTTGCCCCAGGTGGCTCAGCTGGCCAGGGGCAGAGTGAAGATGGCCTACTCCAGTGCCCACACATTGCCTGGGGCTGGCGGCGAGCCAGGCTATGGGGTGCACTGAGAGTTGTCATTACCTTTGAACCCGCGCATGCCCATAGGTCCCGTGGCCCCCAGCTTCCCAGCATCGCCCTTGGGGCCAGGCAGTCCTGGGGTTCCTCTCTCCCCTGGCAGACCTGGAGAGAGAAGAGACAGAGGGTGGAGCCTTAGACTCCCAATGGAGAGGGCCTTAGAGGTCGTTGTCTGGGGGCATCCGGGCCTGGGGCTTCAGGAAACATTGACAGGGGATACAGCATGCTTGAAGGCTGGTCTGGATTGTGGGACACCTCCAGCTCCTCGGAAGGCCCTGGTCACACAGACCCTGATTCCTGGGGGGGGGGGAGGGGTTTCAGGGAGCTGGGGGCTTCTCCTGCACCCTTTTCGTTCAGACCTGACACTTTCTGAAAAGGAGCAT